GAGAGAGAGAGAGAGAGAGAGAGTGAGAGAGAGAGAGAGAGAGAGAGAGAGAGAGAGAGAGAGAGAGGGAGGGAGAGAAGCCTACAGGTAATCAAATTGCTTGGGTATTTTAAGTTGGAGCGGGGGGAGGGGGTGACAAGATAGATGAAAATGTAAGATCTAAGAGAAAGACTGGCAATTATGCCAGTCAGACTGTATATATGTCGACCTCTTTGTCTTTTCCCTCCCAGTTTGCACGGGCTTGGGACCGTCTTGGTGTATAAAGTACCATAAGCCTTCTACGATCTTAGATTCTGATATGGGTGGTTGGCAGGTTGATTGGATCAAAGAAAAGTTGGGTGGCTGACAGGTGCTCTTATGATAGGGTTTGTTGTTTCTTATTACATTTCTACAGTCCTTATCTCTCCTTTTTCTTTCCTTTCAAACCCCTATCGTCCTTATCTCTCTTCTTCTTTCCTTTCAAACCACTATCGTCCTTATCTCTCTCCTTCTTTCCTTTCAAACCCCTATCGTCCTTATCTCTCTTTATCTTTCCTTTCAAACCCCTATCGTCCTTATCTCTCTCCTTCTTTCCTTTCAAACCCCTATCGTCCTTATCTCTCCTTTTTCTTTCCTTTCAAACCCCTATCGTCCTTTCTCTTCTTATTTCCTTTCAAACCCCTATCGTCCTTATCTCTCTCCTTCTTTCCTTTCAAACCCCTATCGTCCTTATCTCTCTTCTTATTTCCTTTCAAACCACTATCGTCCTTATCTCTCTCCTTCTTTCCTTTCAAACCCCTATCGTCCTTATCTCTCTTCTTATTTCCTTTCAAACCCCTATCGTCCTTATCTCTCTCCTTCTTTCCTTTCAAACCCCTATCGTCCTTATCTCTCTTCTTCTTTCCTTTCAAACCCCTATCGTCCTTATCTCTCTTTATCTTTCCTTTCAAACCTCTATCATCCTTATCTCTCTTCTTTCTTTCCTATCAAACATCTACCATTCTTATTTTTCTTCTTTTTGTATCAACCATCTGTCGTCCTTATTTCTCCTCCCCCTTCCTTTTATGTATAATTATGTTACTCCCACCTCTCATCCTCGGCATTCATATGACCTATTAGTGTTGCAGGTGCCGTAAAACGTTTACAAAAACCACAGATTCTTCGACCCAAGAAGGCTTAGATAGACTGTACCCCAAGGCCTGGTTAAAAAGACGGCACTGCCGAGTGCTCACGTCTGGGTTAGTGGTTGAGTTGTTGGTTAGTGAAGGACGGGTAGGGAAGGGTGAGTGGATGGAGTTGGAGAGGAGATGTTGGTTAGTGAGGGGCGAGGGGGTGGGGGGACTCAGGAGGTGTTGGTTAAAGGGTGGGGAGGGGGTGGGGATATTAGAAGTGAGAAAATGTCTTAAGATAACATAATTAGTATTGTTGGCTTTAACCAATGCTTTTTCAACATTGGTCGCCCATTAGTGACGATTTTGGTAGTTTTGCTGGGCTGTGAGGATCACTCGGGTAGTGACATGTGCCATTTTATGTCCCGTTAAGATGTTATTAATTATGGTGTACATGTTGGTGGGCTGTATGTATATTATTATGTTAGCCTCTAAAGGGTGGCAAACGTGGATGCTGGCTACATAAAGGATGACTAGCATTGGCCAAAACTGTCGTCAGTTTAAATTTGAAGGTCTAACTGGCTCAAAGCTGCCTGCCTGCCTTCCAAAAGTTCTAAATTGTGTCGTTGTAGGAGTTAAAAATACCGACATTACGCCATCCCGTCTTCTAAATAGATTTTGCCGATGCAGACGTATACTAGGGACAATAGTTAGCATCTTCCCAGAAGCATGGGCTGATTATGTTGCATTGCTTTCATTATAAAATAGTGTTTAGTTATACATTTACTTTTGTTTCTTTAAAATATTAGTATAAAAACGTAAAATGTAGTCTAAGAATCGAAGAATTATAATCGAGTAAATCAAGTTTCGTGCAATATGTTTTTTTCAATTTCAGTTAAACGATAAAAACCATTCGGACAATAAAGTTAATATTTTTTATGGCAACGATGACTGAAAAATTGTTTAATTGTGATTGTGTAAAATTAGTTTGGTTATTTTTATTTTCAAGTTCATTATAAAAACTATAAAGCATTCGAGAAATTAAGTAGATATTGCAACGTTAACAAAAGAATTGCCTAATTCTGTAATGTATAATTAAATTAATTTTGTGAAAATGTTTTTGTTACAATTTCAGTACAGAAACGAAATGCATTAGGGGGACTAGGTTAATTTAATAGAGTTAACACAAGGATCACATAATGGTTCTCATTATGTATAATTAGTTTCGTAAAAATGTCCGGCGTGTAGTGTTGACCATTTCAGTATAAGATCGAAACAGCTTTCGGGTATTTCAACAATTCGGTAACGTTAACTAAAAACATCGCATGATTATTCTGATTACTGATAATATGCTTGATTAATAAAGTTTATATTTTTTTTTAGCCAATTCAGTTTTAAACCGAAAAGTATTCGGACGATTAAGTTAATTCGTAAGGTTAGCTAAAAAAAAAAAGAGAAATCATGAGATCTCAGAGATTTTGTTCGACTTGTAAAAGTGAAATAAAAATTAAAACTTTACAATGAAGAAACCGGCACGATATGCAATATTTACAAACTTTTGTATACCGAGTTTTGGGGTCTCTTCGTTTTCGTGCTGTACTTGGACTGGAAACGTTCGCGATTGTTAAAGGACTGCAGGAATTCAAGACGTTTGCAAAATATTTAAAAGGTGCGCTACAGCACAGTGGAACCGAGACAGATACGTGATAATCGGTGACTTGTGAATAGGAAATGTTCGCTAAAAAATAAAAGCGAGAAAAAACCCCCCCCCCCCAAAAAAAAAAAAAAAAAAAAAAAGAAAAAAAAGAAAAAAAAATATTTAAAAATAGAATAAAAAATTTTTAAAATAAAATAAAGTGGAATAGCCAAAAACAAACCCCCAAAAAACCACGAAAAAAAAATCGAGAAAATAAAATAACTGGCAAAATGAAAAAAAACAACAGAAAAAACAACAAAGAGCTCCCCAAAAACAAAACAAAACAAAAAAAAGCAGCTTGAGAAAAAAAAAATCTCCAGCCGGTGTACAGTAGGCAATCTGTCTTTACAAACTGTCAATGAGTCCTCTCAGTCTGTCGGTGTGTACATGTATGAAGGCGAGGAGAGCGTGGATTGAGTGTCGAAGTTCTGCTTTCTTCTGCACAAGTCTCATCAGAATGGCTCTGTAAAAAAAGGTTTGTGTATACATTTTTAGATAATAATGTATATAGGTTGTTTTTTGGTTTTTTTGCAGATCAAATGTTCACATGAGAAATACAACTGCCACATTGAAAGTTTCACCCCACATAGAACGTTCAAATGCGTTTTAGTACACTATTGTGCGTAACAAGTTCAAATATACAAATAGTAAATCCAAATGTAACACAACAGCAAGTTCAAGAGCCACATGACAAAAGCAAATATCCTCCACAAGGATTATTCAGCGTGAGAAGCATGTTTAATGTGTTCATGCTGAGTTGACGACAATCATAAGCAGTTTAAGGTGGATTTATCACCATAGAAAAATATCCCGAGGATGCTCCAGCGAAAAATAATTCTGATTGGACTGAAGCAACAGACATCAATGTACAGCATGGCTGAGGCAGAACATTTAACGATATGAATTTGCCTTCATCGATGAAGACAAACCGAGGAAGAGCTGAACGTAATAACTGCGCTGTTCGAGTAGTGTTGGGTCGAAGGGGACCAAACCACACGATGACATTTTAGTGTCAGTGACAAGGGGGGCTTGGTCTTTCACGACTTTCAAGTAGAGGGAATGGCAGCTATCATTTGAACTAACCCCTCTAAGAAACTGTTCCAACAATTCCCACAACGAAGTATGCTTTGCATGTAACAACACTCGTGCATTAAGGCAAGGTTTAAATGGCAACTCACTAATAGATTGGGGAGTGAACTATCTTTCACCTTTCTCACCTTTTCTTGACATCTACGAGAACTCTTGCTAATTTGGAAATATGATTTGAGGCTCGGTGAAGCAAAAGACCAAAATATGCTCACTCAGCTGATTCATGAACAAAGCACGACTTGCCCAGATGATGGAACTAGAAACCCAAGCCGTTACTATAGTGAATATGGCAGCAGCCTTCAGATCATCAATGCAAGCCTGTGCCGAAGCGTCTTGTGGTGCAATAGTATTTAGTGTAAATATAAATAAAATTTGGCCTTACATTTCATCAAATTAGTTATAACCTTTATATATACCTGTATACATATATCCGCAGTTTGTGGATTTTTATCATTGCCATTCTTTTTCGTTCACACTTGTTTATTTTTTATTTTCATTTTCATTTTTATTTGTTATATTTTGCTACGTTTAATTACAGTTTCATTAAATTAAATATTTTATACTCTCGTGTATATAATCCATGACTGATCTGAGACGTCTTTGGGAGTATCTGATCTTTCGTTCTGCTGCTACTCACTGTGCCAATCATGAATTCATCTTGACTGTCATCTTCCTCATAGTCAGATATATCTCTCTCTCTACTTCATGTAGCCTCTTGACTTTTGTGTTACTGTAGGCTTTTGCGAAGTGTTGAATTTTGAACAATTCAAGCACTTTTTTTCAAATGTGACGTTTGCTGACAAAATGAGTTACTTCTCAGATTCAAGTTTTAAGGAAATAGATACATCACGCTTATAGGTGAAGTTTTTACAGTTTATAAGTATGAAATAATAAAAGACAGGTTATAGTTTAAAAATATGGCATCGATTGAAAATCTACAAGTTCGACCCTAATGTCGATTTTTAGCCAATATCTCCATTTGTGGATTGCGAGAAGTAACTCATTTTGTCAGCACACCTCACAAATGTAGGGCATTTTCTTGGTGGATGTTCCGTTAAGCACTCCGGACATGTGTGATGGCCTATTTGGAGAGTAACACTTATTTTTACTGCAATTCTCGTGCTTTAGTCTCTTGATATATATGACACGTTCATCTTCCAAAGGACCGAATTTGCAATGTTTACTGATTTTCTTCAGCTCTGTCAGATATTCATCAATTAGCTCATCTGGATTTTGCTGTCTTGAGTTGAGTTTGTACAGCTCTAGAGTCACATTCGTCTTTTGAGTGCAGTAGTCTTCAAATTTCTGCAGCAGAGACTCAATCGTGTCCATCTCCTCTTCTGAGAAACTCCAGTTTCGTTTGCATGTGTTTTTACGGTCTTGTACAGCCAAGAAAAATTTCCCTCTTGGATAATAAAGTATTATCTTATCTTATCTTATCTTATTCTTATCTTCTTGCCTTCTTCCCCAAATATATATTTATAGGAGGGCTTGACATTTTTCCTTCTCTGTGTGTGTTCTCATGGCCAGGTCTAAGTAGAGTTTCAAGGTCTCCTTCCATGTTTCCCATCTCTCAGCCAAGTGTCCTCCTTCGGTTTTGAAGACCAATTCTGTTGAGGTGGATAAAACTTCAAAGCCATGACAATGTGTATGAAATCAAGGGAGGTCACAATTATAGCCTGTCAGCAACTGTCCCAATTGATGAGTTGTTCCTCTTGGATCATCTCGCACTCGTCGCGTCACTCAGTCGCTGTCTTCTGCCGTATTTCTAGTGTTGCTGCCATGTTTACCAAGTTTATAGGAAAGTTCTCACCCAAGGGGCATTTGGATCTGAGGCTTAGGCAGTACAGTGACGTAAACAGAATGTGACAACACGCACAGATCGTCTTTCGAAGATGCAACTTCGTGGTCCGCCTGCTACTTTCCTCTCGACAAACGCCGCGGCACTATACCAATAGCATTATACCAATTTAAACAATTAATGGGAGAGGTTTAACGCCCCTATCAACACTATTAGGTTATCAAAGAGTACCGAGCCAAATGAGAAACTCATGTAAAGTGCCTTTCTCAAGGACACAACGTCGGGCCGAGCTGAAGCTCGAACCCCAAACCCGCAATCTCATGATAAGCTGTCCGTTCAGTAGACCGCATGATACCAATTGAGTTAACGGTGCCCTAAAAAATGTTCGCGGTAAGAACCTGCAGGAAAGTGTAGCAATACCACAACCAGCGACCGCTATGGAATCTTGATTATACATCCTTATATTTCTAAAGTTCATAATACTTTAAATTGTAACATATTATTTTTTTATCCAGGGAAAAATAAGGTGTTTTTTTTTGTTTGAGGGAGTGTTTTGGGGTGATGTTGTCAACGGGGACGTGCCTTCCAGATGATGGTTAGGTTTAAGGTTAGGGTTAGGGCAACCGTTTTAGGGTTAGTGTTAACTTCAGGGCTAGTGCTTGTGCTAGGGCTAGGGCTAAGGTTCGGGTTAGGATAACAATCTAGATTTCATAGTGGTCACTTGTTGCGGAATTCCTCCCGTAAGATAGAGTGGTGCCGGTACTTGGAACTGAAGGAGGCTTTAATTTAGTTTTAATAGAGGCTTTACGACGTTCGCAACTGCATAAGGTCATATGAGCGCCAGAAGATTTGAAGAGTTACAAGAGAGTAACAAACCAAAAAAGAGAAGGGGAGATAAGGACGATAGATGTTTCATAGGAAGCAAACCACACCAGAGCTCCCGCCATCCACCCACTTGAAGGAGGCTGCCTCACCTGTATGTATCTGGCATCACGCTGCAAGACTCCACGGTCGCAAGGAGATCCTCCCCAACTGGTTTGACCTTGAAAAACACCGCCCAGAGGGTGGCGCCCAGGGCGTACGCTTCTGCCTGTGGGGGAGAGAGGGGAGATGAGAGGGGGGATGAGAGGGTAGATGAGAGGGGGATGAGAGAGGATGAGAGAAGGAGACATCGGGGAGCTGAGAAAGATGGGGGGATGAAAGAGGGGATAAGAGAGAGGGGGAGGGTGAGAAGGGGAGGCAGGGAGAGAGTGTGTATGAGAGAGATAAGGATAGACAGATAGATAGATAGATAGATAGATAGATAGATAGATAGATAGATAGATAGATAGATAGATAGAGAGAGAGAGAGAGAGAGAGAGAGAGAGAGAGAGAGAGAGAAAGAGGGGGATTAAACCAGATTTTGTTGTTCTCTATAGCCATTCCACAAGTAGAATTAAAGTAAGAGAGGGCCAGAGGTTTTGGCATGTTATTGAAGAATTTAAAACAAAAAGGGGAAAGACTTCAGTAACGAGCGACCACCCAAACAAACACAATAAAAAAGAGACCTGACACTAACCATAACCCTGACCTTGACCCTGACACTGATCCAAACCGAAATCCTTACCCTAACCTTAACCCTGAACCTGACCCTGAACCTGACCCTAACCCTAACTCTAATCTTAACCCTAAACCAAACACAAACAACACAAACACAAGCAACACAAACACAAACCCTAACCTTCTATTTCAAAGTGGTCGGTCGTTACGGAATTTCATCCAAACAAGCTCATACTTCAAAATACAACCGGTTCAATGATTCTATTTACTTTTTTCCGATTTCTACTAGGTGATCTCCAAATAAGTATTCTTTATGTTAACATTTTTATTGAAATAAGTATAGAGATGACCGAGTTATCACCTTTTAAGTGGGTTATTTTCTTTTTCTTTTTTTTTTTTTTGGATACTCTGTACTTTAACTGGTCACTTTTAAGGACAACCGGGCTAATCCAGATTCCGGGGGTTTCCAGAAATCTGGACCTACACCAAAAGTGGGCATTGTCCTACCTATAGGAGAAATTTGGTTTCATTAGTGTGTATGTTTGTTTGGTTATAGAGTAAACTCTCTTTCTCTTTTAAAGAAACTGAACAAGGGTCCAAAGACTTTATTTTTGATTTTATCAAATTAGCATTTTTCAGAATAGTCCCCTTGTGCTTATAAGCGACCATTTTACAAACAAATTCTTTTAAAAAATACAGCTAATCTGTCAACTGACCAGGAAAGGGTTCACAGCACAAGGTCCAGTGTGCATAGCGTCAGGCGGGACAAACCCCCGGGATCCTTTCCACTTGCTGACCAAGTCCTGCCCGAGTTGCAACAGATAGGAGGTCCCGAAGTCTCCGAGATAGGCGTTGTCGGCGCTGTCAAGGAAGATATTCTCCGGCTTCACGTCTCCATGAACGATGCGTTTGTCGTGGAGGTACCTCAGAGCGCAGGCTATCTGCACGAAGCACCTCTCTATCTGCTCCTGGCTCAGACGGACACACGAACGGCCGAGATGCCCGCGTGGACATAAAGGCATGCAGATGGCGACGTAATCCTCGCATCGTACGGCCCAGTCCATTTTCATGACGTGGGGGTGGGAGACTGAGTTCATGACACTGACTTCTCTCAGAATGTTGAACCAGCAGTCACAGCCTTTGGCGTTGAAGCGGCCTATTTTCTTGATGGCTTTGTGGACAGACGGCTCTTCTTGCAGTGTGACTTCTAGAACCTGCACCGGTGTCTTCTTCTTGCGGCAGATTTCTTTCACCAGAGTCAGTTTCATGGTGGACAAAAAGTCCCCAGAGATCAGAGGCACGTCCGGAATTGTCAGACTCTCCATAGTGCTGAAAATGTTCAAGTTACGTGTTAAAATGTTACTGTATACGAGAGATAACATGTTAAGTATAGTGTAAAAATTGTACTGTTTTCGAGAAATAATTAACTAGTCAAAATACGTGTAGACATGTTACTAGATCTATAATAAAAGATAATTAACTTATCATGTTACGTATGGTATAGGAATCTTACAATACTAAAAGTAATTAACTTGTCAAGCCACGAGTAGAAATGTTACTATATTAAAAGTAGTTAACTCCTCAAGTTACATGTAGGGATTTTACTTTTCCTAAAAATGACTTGTCAAGTTACGTATAGATATTTTACAATACTAAAAATAAGTAATAAGTCCAAGTACGGGTAGATATTTAACCATTGATAAAAATGAAGAATAAATAGCCCAGTTACTTGTACGTGTGGCAGTTTTACTGCACTAAAAATAAATGTGACCCGATGTGACGGAATCAGACACTCGTCAATCTTTAGGAATGTCGAGTTATTTGTATAGTTTATTCTTCGTGTATCTTGCTTTTTATGAGAAAAATACCCATGTTTCTTGAATAGAACTAGAGATATTTGCGATTGAAGGAGATTGGGGTCGCCTCGTTTCAGAGGTAAATTAGCAAGAAAATGGCCGCCAAATTTTGATGATTTCAATAGCTTGAGTCTTTAGAAACTAACAATTTACATTTTTGAGCATTTAATCTAGATCTACGTTTTACATTAATCATGATAGAATAAAGGTATTTTTGAATAGACATTTAAGGTGATGAGCCAAATTATACAAATTTGGTAAAAATTGCCAAACCGGCCGAACAATGCCGGTATCTTGAATTTCATTATTTAGACAAGGTCCTGACTTCATCATGCTATATCACAAGTAGCTTATCTAGTCCAGTTACGTGTTGAAATGTAACTCAAATAGAGGGAAAGGGAGGACTCCCGTAACGAGCGGCCACTATGAGACATAGTAGAATAGAGGGCTGGTGGTAGGGGTAGATCTAGGGGTAGGGTTAGGATTTGGGTTAGGGTCGTTAGGGTTAGGGTTGGATTTACTTCTCTTATTTATTGTGTTTGTTCGTGTGGTTGCTCGTTACGGAAGTCCTTCCGAGGGAAATAACCAGTCCAGTGAAATTAAGACATCTTACACAACAGAAAGAAATAGGAAGTCACATGAAACATAGACATTTTACACAGTAGAAAGAGATAGTTAGTCCAGTGAAATATATAGACATTTTACACAACAGAAAGAGATAGCTACTCCAGTGAAATTAAGAAAGTTTACTCAACAGAAAGAAAAAACTAGCCTTGTGAAATTATGAGGATATTTTTTCACACAAAAAGAAATAACTAGTCCAATGAAATGCAGACATTTTCACAACAACAAAAAACCAGCTGGTACAGTGATAGTGATTTGGGGAGGATTTCCGTAACGACCGAGAACTATGAAACAGGTTAGAATAAAGGGTTAGGATTTGGGATAGTGTTAGGTTGTGGGGTAGGGGTAGGGTTTGGGTTAACTAGGTGTAGGGTTAAATAGGGTTTGGGGAAGGGGCAGGGGTATGGATAGGGTAGGGCTAGGGCTAGAGATAGATCCTGGTCTCTTCTTTATTGTATTTGTTAGGGTTGCGGAAGTCCTTCCGTAAATTCGCATTTCTTGAACAGAAATAAATACCCAGTCCAATCAAGTGTAGAGAATTCACTCGACGGAAGGAAATAACTAGACAAAGTCCACCGAAATTATGTGGACATTTTAAAAACCAAACACGATAGCTTGTCCAGTAAAAGCATATTGACCTTTAACACAACGGAAAAAATAGCTAGATCTAGTCTTGTTAAATTATGTAGAATTTTTTCTTAACAGAACGAAATAGCTGACCCAGCAAAAGTAGGTTGACATTTCGCACAACAGAAAGAAATAGTTAGACTCTAGTCCACTGAAATTATGTAAACAGTTTTCTCAAAAGACAGAAAACTATTAAAAGCTAAACCATTGATAATAGACATTCTACACAACAGAAAGAGATAGCTAGTCCCGTAAAAATCGAGTCTCACAACATGCTAAGCGTCTTCAATTGCAATTCTTTGAATATCATGAAAACGACTCCGAGTAATCTTACGAATTTGATAGAGCAGATACAACATAATTTGGTCTCTGACCTCACGGTGTTAGTAACTTGAAAGGGCTAAAAATGTCAGATATAACTTTGTAAGTCCAACGTAGCGATTTTCCACAACAGAAAGAAATAATCAAGTCAAATTACGTGGCTGTGACTCCAGCAGAGAGAACCAGCTCGTCCTTTCACGGCAAACGCTTCATGCGGTGTGTTGGAGGGAAGTTTTGGGGGCCTCTGGGAACTTTGTTCACCGTTCTTACGGACCAAAACCCTGTTTTTCCCTCTCCCTTTTTTGTCAACCTGCCCCTCCTTCCCTCCCCGTACCTCTTTTCCGTCCTTGTCCCGCCTCCTTTCCTCTCCGTCCCTCCTTTCTCTTCTCTCCGTCCTTTCTTCCCGCCGCCCCCCCCCCTCCGTCCCTCCTCCCTTCTATCCGTCCCTTTTTCCCAACAACCCAACCCTTTTTCCCTTCTCTGCCCCCCCCCCCTTCCCATATCCTCCTTCTCCTTTCCTCTCCCTTCCTCCCCCTCCTCTTCAACCCTCCCTCCCCTCCTCTCGATTCTCTTACCCCCTCTCTCCCTCTCCCACAACCCCCCCCCCCTCTCCCATATCATAAACAATCCAAACTTTCCTCAGTGAGACGACTGAACAGATTTCTAGACAATGGTGGTTTTTGCTTTGTTCTTGTTGTTGTCGTTGCTGTTGCCCTTGTTGTTTTTGTTGTTGTTGTTGTTGTTGTTGTTGTCGTTGCTGTTGCTTTAGTTGTTTATTTTTGCTTTTGTTTCTGTTATTTTTCATTTTGGTACTTTGAGGTGAATCCCGAGGAGAAAAAAAGGGGTGGGTTGGGTGGGAGTGGGAAGCAGCTATGGACAAACTGACCGTCAGTGAGGATCCCAACCTCGTAGAAAAAGTATAGACAAATAGCTTTGACCAAAGTCTGTTTGTGAAGTCAAGGATGACTCATAACTTACTTTTGCATTTTCGCCTTAATATTATTATGTGAAAAAAGCTTGAAATCGTAGAAGACCAAATATTGCCCCCCCCCCCCCTAAATAAAATCTTGATTGCAAGGTGTACTAATCATAACTGAAATCTACATGCTAACAATGAATAATATGTAAGCAATAAATAACACCATCGCGTGCACATTTTGATACCAATCAGACGGCGTCAATATCATAGGAATGGACAAAGGAACAAAGAAAAAAATCTGGAATGGACTCCAAGGTAAAATGTTTTACATCTTTACATTATCTCTATAAAAGTTGTCAACGTCTACGTGTAGTGAAAACTTTTACATGGCTGTGAATGCTGGAGAATTCGCAAAACTAAAATTATAAAGTTCTATCTGACATTGTTGGCCGTTTTGAGCTATTGAGACCTTGATGTCAGATACCAAATGTTTATCTGCTAAATCAAAATGGTAAGATTATTCACAGTCATTATTAAGATATTTAAAAGAATTGCATTCGAAAAACACGTAGTAAAACTGAAAGTTTTTAACTTCAGATTTCTCAAAACTACGTACTGAGAAGATAGACCTTTGCAGTTCTGTTGCAAATTGTCTAAGACTGTGAAAACAAACGCAAAAAGTTTGAAGCAACAGAACTGGTTATTTTTCAAGTGAGAGGGGAGGGGGGCTGTTGAAAATATCCTTTAAAAATCGAATATCGTAGTGTTTGATGAAGCCCACGTGGGATACTCGCTAAATAAGAACAGTTAAGAAGAGACAAATTGATGTAATTTCTGAACACATGAACAGACACAAGGATTGTGAACGTCAAGCTCTGATTGTCAAAGTGCAAGGCAAACGAGGCCTGGTCAGACCCAAAGCAACTTACTTGGATAACCCAAAGAGACCTTTTTCGCGGGAGGTTGGCGGGTGCTTCTTAGTGGTTTGTGCTTTCTTTTCTATCAAACATCAATGGTCCTTATCTCTACTCGTTTTGTGTTTGTCATTCTCTTGTAATACCTCTAATCTTCGACACTTATATGACCTTGCTGTGTTGCAAGTGCTGTTAATTTTTATATAAAACGACAACTATGTTCTTTTTCAAGTGCCCCAAAACGCGTCTTGTAGTGTTATCTAATGACCAGAACAGTTCAGGTTCAGTGAATTGATGACCAGTGAAAGCTGACCATTTCATAACCAGTATTTTGTTTTGTGCATTTGCTTTAAGATAAGTATTTTATCCTCCCCCTCCCCTCCCCTCCCCTCGCCCCTACCCCCCGATACAATTTAGATCATTAAGGAGGCGGGCAGGACCAATCTATGATGAAAGGGCTGCAATATCCCAGCTAGAAGACCTTGACACTCGATTCAAACGATACACAAAAAGAAATTCATGATGTTAGGGAATCGATCACAGGCCATCTGCATGCGACTTCGAAGCGCTCAACCGCTACATCAGAGACACCTGTTGAATGAAAGCTGACCTTGAAATGACCAGTGAGTGGGCGGGGTAATCAGCATTCTCATCTGTGCGTGATATGTCCCTCCAACTTCTGATATGACATATGACGTAACGGGACATTTTCTATTACGGAAGGTGATTAATCTCGCATAAGGTGTTGAGCTTCATTACTAGAATTAATCACCTTTAGCCCCTCTTGCTTTAAATAGACCCTCATATCTCTGTGGGGAATCAAATAGCTGGACCAGAGCTCAGAGCGGCCATCTCCGATAAGAGAATACAGTGGAGAACATCTAAATATTTCCTGAGTTTACACAGAGAGAACAATGAAGTCCCTGATCATCATCGCCGGTCTTCTGGCTGTCGCCTTCTCCGTCAGTGTAAGACCATTGTTGTCTGCTTGCTTATTCTTAAAAGGCGGGGCTCATTTGAGGATCCGTTCCGATCGGTTCGGTTTCTGGCAGCTTCAGTGTGCACAATCATTACTCGACCCTTGTCTCAAACCGATTGTCCGACTCGTGGCTTTGAAAACAGACGCCTTTATTCTTAAAGATCAACGTCGGTTTCTTTCGGCATGGTAGCTTTTCTCCCTCCGCAGAGGAATATCTGGTTATCATCCACGACCAGGGGGCTCTCGTGGCCTAGGTGTTGGCCTCTCATTCAAAGGTCCCGGGTTCGAATCCGGGTAGCAACCGAAAAATTTTCTTCTCTAAAATGGTGTCCTTTCACCTCCTTTACTGCTCTCTCTGGCAATGTTCTGTAGTCTGCTTTCGTCTCCTCTTTTTGCCCCCACCCCTTCACCTCCTTTGTCCCCTCATCTGGGCTCCTGACTCTTTCTGCAGCCTTTCTACTGCTACTCCTTAGCTCCTTCTTACTGCTGTCTTTCAGCTACACCCCTGATCTTTTGGTAGGAAAGATCTACATCTAGCCTTCTCGGACAAGGGCAACAAATCAAACCTTGGAGGGCCTGGTTGCAAGTTGTGCACGTTAAAGATCC